TGAAGGATGGGGGTGTAAATGAAGGATGGGGGTGTAAGTGAAGATTGGGGGAGTAAGTGAAGATGGGGGGAGTAAGTGGTGATGGGGGGAGTAAGTGAAGATGGGGGGTGTAAATGAAGGAGGGGGGAGTAAGTGAAGATGGGGGGGAGAAAGTGAAAGAGGGGGGAGTAAGTGAAGATGGGGGGAGTAAGTGAAGGGAGGGAGTAAGTGAAGGAGGGGGGAGTAACAGAAGGTGGAGGAGGGGGAGTAAGAAGAAGAAGGGGGGTTTGAAAAACGGGGGGTAAGAAGAACACAAGGAGGAGGGGGAGAGTAAGAGTGAGGAGAAGGGGAGATGAGGAGAAGTGGGGGACTGAGAAGAACACAGGGAGGGTGGGTAGTGAGGAGAACACAGGGAGGGTAGGTGGTGAGGAGAACACAGGGAGGGGGAGGTGAGGAGGACACAGGGAGGAGAGGACACTACGCGCACACACACACACAATGCATCCCTACACACACAGAAACACAACATGCTTCCCTTACACACAGAGAAACACACAATGCATCCATTACACACAAACAATGCAACACTTACACACAAAGACAATGCATCCTTTGCACACATACACAGAAACACATAATGCAAACACTTACACACACACTGCTTTTCTTACATACACACAGAAACACAATGCATCACTAACACACACTCAATGCACACACTTACAGACACACACCTTGCATCCCTTATGCATACAAACACAGATTCACACAATGCATCCCTTACACACAACCAGAAACACACAATACATCCCTTATACACAAATACACACTGCTTCCACTACACACAAACACACTGCATCACCTGCACAAACTGGTATCCCTATACACTACATACCATAAGCACACATATTAGATCCTCTACAACAGGGGTTCTCAACCCAGTCCTCAGGACCCGCTACCAGTCCAGGATTTGGGGATTACCTGGGTGTGTCTCAGGTGCTTAGAAAAAGGGAAAAAACACCTTAGACACACCCAGGTAATCCCTAAACCCTGGACTGGTAGGGGGTCCTGAGGACTAATGTTGAGAACCCCTGCTCTACAATAACACATAACACATCCCCTACACACTCCACTCCCTGTGAGCGAACTCATGGGTGGGTGGAACATATAAGTGGACTTATGAGTGGGCCTTGTGGGCATACTCACCGTCAGGCCCTGGGGCCCAGACCTTGAGCTGTGTAAGGGGCCCTTCCAAAAATGGAGCTGCTTCCAATTCTCCCAGAACATTGAATTTTGTGACCACAGTTGCAAACAGCCTCCAGAGATCCTGTTCTACACCAGACCAGTGGAGCCAAACTGCAGCCCATCATCATCCTCATTTGGTTGTAAGTAGGCAATCTAGTATATTATTAGTGACACTAATCTATAATTTTCATTACATTAAAGGGACACTATAGTCCCCAGAATGACTGGAGCTTAATGAAGTGGTTCTGGTATCTATAGGCGGTCCCTGCAGGCTTTTTAATGTAAACACACACTGTGGGCAGCACTGGCGTTAGTTCGTATGGCAGCTCATATAGGTGGGGCATTGTGATGTCACATGGGGGGCGGCAAATACAGCTGTTCCCCATGCAGCCACAGGTGCCACTGTGCTGAGAGATTGTGATTACTCTTCACTTCCTCCCAGCTTACAGAGCAGCGCATGGGAGAGAGAGAGGAGGAGGCATGATTTAATCTTACAACAAATCCAGTAAGCAAATCTTTATAAATTTGGATGGGATCAGATCTGTTTCCACAGTTTATTGGTGTTTACTCTGCTGTCTGTATTAATATTGAGGGATTTCTAAGTAGTAACATCAGTGTGTGTCAGCAGGGCCAGCCATTGGGGTGTGCACGCTGTGCGGTCACGCAGGGTGCCATCACAACAGAGGCGCCCGGCGGACAACACAGCTCACAAGTTGGGGACACCAGCCTATTCAATTTAAACGATTCGCTGGTGGTCCACTGGTGCGCACCAGCAGTAGGTGCAGTCAGATTATATCCTCTCCCTCATGGTTCTGGCGCTCAGTTAGTGAGTCAGAGCACAGGCTCAGAGATTCTCAGCCTGCGCTCTGACAACATTGAAAGTCAGAGCCGTGAAGGAGCGGGTATGGCAAAGAGCTACTGATTAGCATAACATCAATATCCGTTATAAATCCAGGAAAAGGTGGGCACCATTGCTCTGATTTGGTGGTGCAATGGGCCTCTTGACTGGTTTTGCCCCCCAGGCCTAAGGCTGCCAGCCCTCCCCTGGCCCCCACCTCCACCAAACATACAGCACACACACACACAGCACCTACACACATACAGCACACACAGCCCACAAACAGCACCCACACACACACACAGCACCTACACACATACATCACCCTCGCACACACAGCACCCACACACAGACAACATCCACACACACCCAGCACACTAACAGCATCCTCACAAACACACAAAACCACACAACACAACACCCGCACAGCACCCACAAACAAACAGCACACACACACAAACAGCACCCTGACAAACACACAACACCCACACACAGCACACAAACAGCACACACACAGGACCCGAAGAAACACACACACACAAACACCCTCTCACACATGCACACACAGTACACTACCAGTTCCCTCACACACAGCACACAAACAGCACCCTCACACACAGCACACTAACAGCACTCTCACAAACACACACAAAAACACCGTCACCCACATAGCACACTACCAGCACCCTCACACACACACACAGCAGTGTGTGTATATATATGTATATATATATATACACACACACACATACATACATATACACATGGCGTGTGTTTGTGCTTTAGGGTGCACACCCTAATGCAATAGGCTAGGCACGCCTATGCCCACTTCCCTAATCTATAGGCTGCCCCCCCAGTCTCACTCCCCTAATCTATAGGCTGCTGCCCCCCCCATCCTCACTCCCCTAATCTATAGGCTGCTGCCCCCCCCAGCCTCACTCCCTAAATCTATAGGCTGCTGTCCCCCAGCCTCACTCCCTAAATCTATAGGCTGCTGCCCCCCAGCCTCACTCCCCCCACCCATAGGCTGCCGCCCCCAATCAATAACATCCTATAGGCTGCTGCCCCCACCATAGGCTGCTGCCCCCCTGATAAGGGCTGCTGCCCTCAAATTCCATGGGCTGCTGCCCCCAAATTCCCATAGGCTGCTGCCCCCACCCATAGGCTGCTGCCCCCCAAACAAAAATCTATAGGCTGCTGCCCTCAAATCCTAAAGGCTGCTGCCCCCAAATCTATGGCTGCTGCCCCCCCATGCTGCTGCCCCCCTATAGGCTGCCCCCACCTATAGGCTGCTGCCCCCCATATAGGCTGCCCCCAATCTATAGGCTGCTGCTGCTGCCCCCCACCCATAGGCTGCTGCCCCCCCAGGCTGCTGCCCCCCCAATCTATAGGCTATCTCAAACCCTCCCCCCACTTACCTGATCTGTAGGCTCTCTGCTGCCTGCATGTGTTACTCCCCTTCAGTTACAATCAGCAGAGAGAAGCAGGGATAAGATGCAGCTTCCTATCCCTGTCTCTCTCCATACACAGCTCTCTCCTACTGGCTGGCGCCGGTATTGCAGTTCATTTTAAATCTTGCACGAAAAATATCAGAACAAGCTGAAAAATCCAGGGGGGGCAAGTGCCCCTTGCCCCTGCGGATCATGTATCCTACACAACATTCAAATGTGCTGGTCCAACCGCAAATGTGCTGGTCTACTCGCAGTGTCGGTTTAATGTTTTTGTGCACAATTATAGTTAGAACTAAAAAAAAAATATTTTCTTTTACATTTAAGGAAACCAAGCTTCATTTTCGCGTCCCTTTTACGATGATTATATCCATCTATTTAACTTATTTTTTTATCTTCCTGTTAAGTACTGATCAATGGATCGTAACTCATAAGTCTGAGTATTTCTTCTTTTATCTTCAGTTTACGCTATAATTCTCTTGGCAAGGACGCTGCAATCATGGAGGCCGATGTGCTAAAATCTTCCACTTGTCAAGTTAAATGCTTACTGTGAGTATTGCTAGAATTCAGATCCCATCAATCCCATCTGTTTCTCTCACCACTCAGCAGCATTTGTACTGCTTTATTAATTTCCTTAAAGATGGGTGGATACCTCCTAATTACCGACTTGTCTCGAACTCCCATTCTATTAAACATACTTATATCCAGAGCACTATCAGGTAGTGTGTGTCGCCCTGTCAACATCTTGCCAATATACAGGCATCTTCTACCTATAATACCAATGTGACCTTTACGTGGAAATAGCCTATGTAAAAAATAAAAAAATAACGGACTTAAAATATTTGACACATCTCGACTATTTGGCTTAAAATGTCAGTTTTTCATTTACCATTACCATCTACTATTTGGTAGATAGACACCAAAATCATAGATTGTTCAGGGTGCATGTTAGGACCAAATACCTTTCAAATTGCAGTTAGATACATTAAGTTTCTGAATTTGACACTTTAAGTACCATCATCACTTACTCTCCTTGCACAGATGGTTCTGCCGCCCATCCCTGTTTCATTGAATTTGGTTAATTTATGTCTGCAGTGATTAACAAAATTCAATGTAGCTACATGATCCCTCTCGCACTCTGTGACAATGCTGCGTGAAGATATGTATCCCCCAACTGTAGGCTTGTAAATTCCATAAAAGTCATAACTGACTTGTGTGAGCCATCTCATAACTTTCCATGAGTGAACCTGAACAGACACTTGTATGCATGGCTGGCAGTGGCTTTATTCTTAAAAAAAAAGTATTTCTAAATATACTATCTTGTATTTCGATGTTCCTTGTGCAGGATGTGTGGGAATCATATTGGCTCTGAAGGTGTCCAACACTTATGGGAAGCACTGAGTTCCAATCAGACACTGGAAGAGCTGTATGTGGACATTACAGGAATAACAGACAGCGGCCTAGATAACTTACTTCCCTGTCTTACGAAGAACACAACTTTACGTCTGCTAACGTAAGTACAATACACTCTGGGATCCAATGAGTACTAACCACAAATGAGAACAAAAAAAATTATAGGAATTTTAGATCAACTAAGTCTTGCCTCTTAATGTCTACATTCTGGCTGATATTCTGGCCTATTGTAAAGACTATTTGATGCACCAATTTTAAGATTAACCAATATGTCCCATCATGGCCTCATGGATTGATATATTTTTGGATAACCTTTTCAAAATAATTAAAAAAAATTCATGATTTTTAAAAAATATGAAAATATCAAAAACTATATAATATATTTAAAATATATATTTTAAAAATACATATATATATATATATATATATAAAAATTTATCCAAAAATAATGAATCACTTGAAAAGCTTATCCAAAAATATTAAATTGAAACCAGTGTTGCTAGCGAATTTACAGTAAATAAATGTTTTTCGTTAAAAATTTTTATAAATAAATAAACTTTTCTTTTTCTGCTCTCTACCACTTTGTTTTACGGTTTGTTTTTCTTTTCACCCCTTAACCTTAGGATCGTAGGTAATAATTTGAGTGAAAGGAGCAAGCAGCTCTTGGTGACAGTGCAGAGACAAAAGCCCACCTTGAAGATTCTCAGCAGTTTTCTAAGTGACATGGGCCTTCTGCAGGCATATCTGGACTGGGTACAAGATCTTAAAGAGGATCCACAGCAAATGGAGTCTGCAAAGAACGCAGACGCCTTGCGCAATGTCTTGGCTGAACTTGGAAAGGAGGACCCTGGAAAGAAAGACAAGGATCTTATAGAAAGGATTGAGAAGTTGAAGTTTGAAATAAGCCGCATCTTGCAAACGTCCCCCGTAGCTCAGTGACAATAACAATAATGCAGACTGGTCAATGATTTTAGATGCGTGCAATAGACTCTCAGAGGCCTTGGCATGTACATTAAGCTGTTCTGAAAATCAGCCTAAAATGTCATAAAGTGCACATTAGATCAGCCAATGGAATTTGAACTGCCGCACAATCTAACAAGTTATTCACTGTGAAGAAATGACTAGGGAATTGTAAAATTTGGATCAAAATAGCCAAACTCAAAAAGAGTTAATTATTTTTCCATCTTTTCCCATACTGCACGGTGGGTGTCAATATACCTAGTCCCTAACTTTTGGGGGGGGGGGGAGAGGGTGCCTATATATGTATGTATATATTTCTCAGTATATTAAATAAATCCCGTAAGTAACAGAGTGAAAATTATAGGAATACAGTCATGAAAAGAAAATATATTTTTTTAAATCTTTTCTACTTTTTGAAATATGCTGAGCTTATGTAATTCAATGTTAAAGTAAATTTATGTTTGTTTGTTTTTTAGTTTCTTTGATAAGGAATGTCTGTAGACAATGCCTCTTTTAGAAGATTTGATACAATTAGCACCTATATAATAATGCAGCAAAATATTAAGACTAAAAACACACACATCCATGACAACTACTCCAAAATATCTAGGTGAACTAAATGGTGGATGTAGCTTACTTACGTATTTTGTGACAAAAATTTAAAAAGACTGAAGATTACTCTGTATTTACTAAGATTTCACAATTTCATCAGTAGCATTGTTCTTAATGTTTTCACAACTGTTGTCTTGTTTGCATAATTGAATATTTTCTAGTTACATTTATGGAGTCTGTTCTGGGCTTCTAATGGAAAAAGATGCGTACACTCACGGCTAATGATGATCTCACCATGGACGGATTTGCCTGCAGAACGGAGAATGTCTTGGTCCTAGAAAAAAAAAAGAAAGGAGTTTAAGCTTTTATTCTTTCAAACAAGAGAGGCCCAGTAATCTAACATAAAAAGGAACCCTCTAACATTAAAACTAAATATATTTATTCTTAACTTTCTTTCTTTAAAATAAAATTGAGTTTGTTAAATTGATTGTGCTAGATTCCTTAAAGGGTAATTCCGACCAAATGCTTTCCTGTGGACTGTTTGAATGCGCGTTCGGCTCTTGCCGCGCATTCGCATTTAGCTCCACTCTGGAGCTGATGTCGGCGGGGGAGGAGAGGTCACCAGCGCCGAGGCAGCCCGGCGCTGGATAAAGGTAAGTAGCTGAAGGGGTTTTAACCCCTTCAGCGCCAAGGGAGGGGGACCCCGAGGGTGTGGGTTGGGGAGGCCCCAATGAGGATATAGTGTCAGGAATACATGCTTGTTTTCCTGACACTATAGTGATCCTTTAAGTACAGACTCCAGGTACTATGACCACTGCAAATCAGTGAAGTGGCCACGGTGCTTGGAGTAATCTATTAAGTAATGAGCTTCCAATAAGTGTAGGAAATGTAACAAATGTCTGTTTAATATTATACAGTATATTGGGAATTAATATGTGGCAGAAATAAAGGCTTAAAATGAAATGGAATCACAAAATACATTTTTCGATTTTCTTTTTTGGGTTGAGTGCAATGTATCTAAATATACTGTTGAATAAGTGCTATCCTTCATTAAATTGTTAAGAGAACAAGATGAGTGTGCTTCTGGTGATATTTTTTTTCCCTTATATTTGGTTTTATTGAGAACAGCAATGTCAGACGTTATCAGTGGAGACAGTAAATCACAGTGTGTTAGAATAGAAGGACAATTGTCTAGAAAAATCACTGTTACAAATTACTATGACAGTCATCGGTAGATAAACGTCCGATGCTACTGTCTGAAATGGGTTAAAACATTGGAAAGGACTGTACACAAACTTAGGAATGTGGTTCAACTTAGGAATGTGGTCCTTCGTCGAGAAGAAGAATCACAATGTTTCGGCTCAAATAGAGCCTTCATCAGATCTAAAAAAAATTACCTCCGGGGCGTGTCCTGACTGCGCATGTGAGCGGACGTGCAGGAACGGAGCTCTCCCGGCCCGCGGCAATAAAGCAGCCATCACAGCGTGAATAACCCCTAAAAACGAGCAATAACCTACTACACCCTCAGGTAAACACCTCTGCGCCTGATGGCCACCAAAAAATTTAAGCAAAAAAACCTTAATCCCCACCTAGAACAGTCACAAACCGCGGAGCCGAAAATCCAAGATGGCGCCGACGGATGGCACTCGCCTGCCCACAGCAATGATACAGGAGACTGCCTGTCAGAGCACAGCAATCCAGCAACCAATGCCTCAATCAGGCTAATTATGCAGGAGCTCCACACCTCGTTTAAGGCTGACCTCCTTCAGATGACCGCTGACATCAAAGCAGACATCCATAGCATGGGAGAGCGTACTACCCGCCTGGAAGACAGGGCAGACGAGCTGGTGGAGGCACATAATACAATAACAGAGGCCTACACAGACTTAGAACTCAAACTAAAATCCTTGGAAGAAAAGGTGGCCGACCAAGAAGATAGGAGCAGACGAAATAATATCCGTATAAGGGGTATAACAGAGACCATTTCATAACAAGATTTATCCAGGTACGTCAAAGACCTGTTTAAAACCCTGATCCCCTCTCTGTTTGAATTTGACTTGATCCTGGACAGGACCCACAGACTCCCGAAGCCTAAACATCTCCCGCCGGACACTGCGAGAGACACGATCACGAGAGTACACCATTTCACTGTCAAGGACAGAATTATGCAGACTTCCAGGACCATGAACAAATGGCCAGAATTATATAAAGATATCAAGCTGTTCACTGATCTCTCCTCGGCAACCACGCTCAAATGCCGAGCCTTTGCACCGATTACAGAGGCACTAAGAAACGCGAATATCCCCTACAAGTGGGGCTTTCCTACGAAGCTACTAATTAAAAGAAACGGCGTAGACAAGCCCATCATGACTCCGGAAGACGGCAAAAAGGCGCTTCAGGAATGGAACATACCTTTCCTACCTACTAGCCCCAGGAAGAAACAAGCAACGGCCCAAGTGCCAAAGGTGCTGTCCAAAGACTGGTCACGAATTCACAGGGCCCCCCAGGCACGCGTGGACCCGGACAAGTCACCGACCTGAAAGATCCGGGCCCAACGCCACACTACGCCCTCCAATGAACTTAACGTACAGGTTTACACTGTTTCTGTTTTATGTAATTGTTGTAAGTTTACCTAAGATACCCAATAAGGGTTTAACAGAAGGCCACAGGCCTAGCCGCAACGGGTGAGCAATACCCGACGGCACTACACTCGACCTAAATTATTGTTGATCCCCTACACATAGGGATCCAGTCACCACACCCAGTGTGGTACACCCCCAAGGCTCTAGTAGCCCAACTTCTCCGTTGCTTCAGGCAACCATATGTCACCAAACCGTGACTTACGGAATGTTGTATATAGTTTCTCCCCCTGTTTTCCCTTCCTCCTCCGCACCACTCCCCCACTGAGAGTACTCTGCAAGCACAGCATAATTGATATACACGGTTGCAAAATACCTAGATCCCCCAGGCACACAAACCCCATGGGTATCCTTCGACGCTGCCGAGTTAGGGTAACCACTAGCTTGATTAAGAAACACAAACCCCTGCCACAGCACCCAACACGTTGGATAGATGGTGATTAAGCTCATGTCCCTAAACACCAAGGGGCTCAACTCCCCCAATAAGCGGAGACTAGCCTTGCAAGAAGCGAAAGAATGTGGGGCACAAGTGGCATTTTTCCAAGAGACCCATTTCAAATGGAACTCTAGACCCAAATTCACCTCAAAGTGGTACCCTCACGATTTCCACACATGTTACTCAGCTAAGAAAAGAGGAGTCTCCACAGTGATCAGCAAAGATGTGGCATTCTCCTTAGTTAGGAAAATTAGTGACAAAAAAGGTCGATATTTAATTTTACAATGTATGTTGAATAATGCACCGTATACTCTGATCAATGTATATAGCCCTAACGAAAACCAAAACGAGTTTTTGCAAATGATCTTGGCTCTAACTGATATGTATAGACATGGGGAGGTGATCATTGGAGGCGACACGAATTGTCTATTGGACAGCAGACTAGACTCCTCCACCACAGCCCATATCAAGAGTTGCACACTCAGACACAGAACTACACTAACAACAAAAATATGCTCCACACTGACCGCAGCCCGCATGGTAGACCCATGGCGCATTTTACACCCAACAGACATAGATCACACATGCTACACAGCAGCCCACAACAGCTACTCTCGGATAGACAGATTCCTCATACCCACCACATCGATGGCCCAAATAGAAGGAGCGACAATTGGGGTAGTGACGTGGTCCGACCATGCTCCCATTACGCTTAGCATTAAAGAAGCGTTTACCAATAAAGGATCCGGCTCCTGGAGACTTAATGAATCCCTTTTAGCAGACCCAGCAATAATATCCCAGATCACGAAAGATCTACAAAATTACATAGCGGAAAACACGACCGCTGATTCCGCAATCGAACAAATCTGGCTGGCACATAAGGCGGTCATACGAGGCAGTTTTATAAAACATGCCAGCTACGCTAAAAAGCAGAGAATGGCCGAGTATACTAATCTCTTGGAAGAAATCCGAACCCTAACACATTCAAACAAAAGAGACCCAAACCCAACCACAAAAACAAAACTTCTAGCTCTCCACAACAAGCTAAACAACATTGAACTAGCCAAAACAACATACCTACTCAGGAAATTGAAACACAATTTCTTTACGAGTGGCAACAAAGCTGGTGCAATACTAGCATCACAACTTAAAAAAAGGAATGTTGCCTCCAGGATCGCCTTCCTAAATAACCCCAAGGGCATAAAGGTAACGAACCCCCAAAACATTGTAGACTAATTCGCCCAATACTACGGCGAACTATATAACCTCAAACAGGACCCCAATGTGCGCATACCAACCCCAGACAAAATAGATGACTTCCTAGCTGCCTTGGACCTACCCAAACTGACAGAAAACGACCTAGCACCCCTGACAAGACCCTTCTCTCTAGACGAACTCACGAAAGCCATCTCTCAACTCCCAGCACGCAAATCACCGGGCCCCGATGGCTTAACAAATGAATACTATAAAACTTTCTCACCAACCATAGCGCCACTGCTCCTTCAACTAGTCAACAAATGCGCTACAGCAGGTGCGCTCCCAGAAGAAATGCTCTTGGCACATATCTCTACTCTCCCCAAACCCGGCAAGCCCCCTACACAATGCAAAAACTTCCGGCCTATATCCCTTCTAAATGGAGATGCCAAGCTATACGCGAAGCTCCTCAGTAACCGACTCGCCCCCCTCCTGCATAAAATAATCCACAACGACCAATCTGGGTTTATCAGAGGCCGCCAAGGCTCGGACAACACCAGAAAAATTTTAAACATGATCTCCACATTGGAGTCCAACAGATCATCAGGCCTCCTCCTCGCCTTAGACGCGGAGAAGGCCTTCGATCGCCTAAATTGGGCCTATATGACTAAAGTTTTAGCACAATTTAACTTCCCAGAATCCACCATAACTAGCATTATGGCTCTATACCATCGTCCAGCAGCGAAGGTATCACACGGAGGGTTCCTCTCTGCTGCATTCTCCATCACAAATGGCACCCGCCAGGGATGCCCCTTGTCACCCCTTCTGTACATACTTGCCCTAGAACCCCTGGCACAAAAGATCCGAACACACCCCGAGATACTAGGAGTCAATATCCACAACAAAATGTACAGTCTAGCTTTGTTTGCCGATGACATATTTATAGCACTGTCAGACCCACGACGCTCTCTTCCTCCCCTGTTAGACCTCCTACAGGAATTTGGCGATATCTCCTATTACCGCCTAAATCAAGACAAAACCCAAGCCCTACCAATAAACCTACCAAAGCCCTTGCTGGACACACTCCAGACCTCCTACCAGTTCGACTGGAAATCACACTCTATCACATACCTGGGAATAAAGATAGCACCCACAATTTCTGCCACTTCACAACTAAACTACAAACCTCTAATAACATTATGTAAAGCGGAAATGAACAGATGGAAACACGCAAAACTCTCGTGGTTAGGAAGAATTAACACGTACAAAATGATGATCCTCCCACGTATCCTTTATATCTTTAGGATGATACCGTTAGGGATCACGCCCCAATTTTGTAAAGCACTACAAAAATTATGTGGCGCTTATATCTGGAGCGGGAAAAGACCCCGGGTATCCTTAGCACTTCTCCAGACCGCTCCACGACTTGGAGGAGTGGGTCTCCCAAACCTGAGGCAATACCACAGAGCAGCGATCCTCTCCACGGGCATACTCCTTCACGCTACACCAGGCACATTACAGTGGGTGGACATGGAAAGAACACAATTTACAGTCATGTCTCTAACCGACTACCTATGGACACCGAGGAAGTTTAGAACTAAACGCACAGACCTGTTCCCAACCACACAACTCACAATCTCCATATGGGACACCTTTATGGAGACTATAGGCCACAAGGACACACTACACACCAAATCCCCAATCTCAATCCCCAATGTCTTGAGAACAATAGTACCCAACATTCCCCTTAAGGACTGGAACACAGCGGGAG